ATTTTTTGATATCCCAAAAAATCATTTTCTGATATCAGAAAATATATTTTTTGATATAAGAAAATAAACGAGATTTTTTGATATCAAGAATTCGAATTTCTGATATTAGAAAATCATTTTCTGAAATCAAGAATTCGAATTTCTGATATAAAAAAGTCTTCCGGATTTTATGATATTACAAAAAGGAATTTTTGATTTCAAAAAATCGAATTCTTGATATCTAAAAGTATATGTCATTTTCTGATATAAAAAATTCGAATTTCGATTTTTTGATATCAAAAATTCAAATTTCTGATATCAGAAAATAATTTTGTGATATCAAGAATTCAAATTTTTGATATCAGAAAATCATTTTCTGATATCAAAAAATCTGTTTTTTTTTTAGATCAAGAATTATTTTTTGGTATCAAAAAATATTTTTTGATATCAGAGATTTCGAATTACTGATATCAAAAATTTCTTTTTTGATATCAGAAAATACCTCAAAAATATTAAAACGGCGCCTCATAGTTTAAGGGGCTTGTTTGGCAAACGATGACTGCCAAATTGTCCTCCATCTTGTCTTCTGTTTTCTTCTCCTCCATGAAAAAGATCTCAGTTTCCTTTGATCAGTAGGCAAAATTTGTCCAACAAACAAATTTAATTCATAAATTCATATAACAGCGACCTTGTATTGCTTGGGAAGTGCGAGAGAATTAAGTTACTTGACTTCTATAAACGGTATGCAACGATGATATTTAATCGTGCATTAGACATTAAATTATTTTCGTGAACTGTGGATTATTTTGCCTTTATGATCATCAGATGTTGAAGTAGTTCACCGTTGACCACTTTTCACATGATGCGGTACATTAACAACAATTGCACAAACTATGTCTGCATGAGAACTGGTGGGAAGTAACATTGAATTCATGTCTCTCTTGCCTCATGTAGAGATAGAGATTCAATCTCATTGTTTCATGAATGTCATTAATTCCTCTGAATCCTGTATTGAAACCCTAGATGAGTTGATAGCTACATCAGCCATTCTCTTTCCAGCATCACCGACTGAAATCAAAATTAAAGCCGTTTTTATTACGAGTTGATGGCATCAACTCAAGTTATGTTATTGGTAAGGGATTCCCCTTGTATCGAAACTAATCACATTTTCGTTTGAGTATTTTGCATACAGATTCTTGTATAGTATTGGCTTATTTACAATATTCATGATCCACAGAATAAGAATATGTTTCCTGATATGAATTGAAGTGTTTATAAACTTAAATACTTACTATTTTATTTTTGGGGAATTTGTGTCAATCCGCGAGAGAAAATAGTGCAAGGGGAATGCTGTCAAAAATTGTGACATGTCGTGCAAACAATTAAGTTTTGATTTTTAAGTCAATAAATACTAGTATTTTCAACTATTTCAACTTATTTTAAGTAATTTAAATATATTTTGAAAGAAAATTTACGCAATTAAATATTGTACAAACCAGGTTATTTTTACAAGACTGACGTGTAAGTGGTATATAAATAAACTAATCCTTGCGCTGATCCAGTATGCTAATGACCAGTGCAATTTCCCCGTGATGAAGTGTTTATATATAGAACACTACTTATGTAATTGTAAACAAAGCGAGAAACACCCATGCAGTTAAGAAAGTCGAAGTAAATCAAATAGTAATCTGAAAAGGAAGAAATGAGCTGTACCAATTGATAAAATATTTTTATGTAAATGCCATTACTTCTTGTTCAAACTATAAAAGAACCACTGTCTTCCACAATTTAGATCTGCATCACAGCAAGTCTTAAATACAGTAAAGGTCAGTGTCTTAACATGCCTGTAATTCTTATCTTATTGTCTGCGCTACTCTGGAAAGAGAGTTCCTTTACTATATCCAGCTGTGTCTTACTATCAGATGCTGGCAATGTGATACAGTGAATTTAAAGTACACAAGACAGAAAAAAATGATAACCAAAAAAAATATACAGAAACATTAAATCGGGTGTTATCCATAAATTAAATGAGAAATGTTTGTTTATAAATTCATGTTAATCAAGAGACTGAAAAATAAAATATATTCAAAAGTAAATAGATTATGTAAACGATTACTATATCATGCCAGTGTGATAAAGTTTTAGTCTTCAGTCAAAAAGCCAAAAAGAATTGAAATATTAATCCTTCATGAATTTATCGATGAAAGCCATATAGTTGAATTACAAAATAGCTAAATTGAAAGAAATGAAATATTACATACATGTGCAAATCAATGAATTGAAGTCAGGTAGTATTATTTCAAGAGTGTGTAAACTAAACGAAAAAAAAACATAAATTAAATTAAAATGTTCATTTCAACTAAAAGTCAAAAAGCGTTGAATTTTAAGAGCAACTAAATCGGGAGAATTGGAGTATTTATTTTGCATATCAAAGACCATACAAGACAAGGAGTTGAATTTCACGAGTGACTAAATCAAGAAAATTTCAAATATACATGCAAATTTTGAAAGACGAGGAGCCGAATTTCAATAACCATATTAATCAAATCAAACTTTTGAATTTTGTAATATGCATATCAATTAAAATAGAGGATTTGAAATTTAAGAGTGGCTCAATCACGAGAAATAAAACATACTGATGTGCACTGAAAATGTCAAATTATTTGTCAGTTTATGAAAATAGTGAAAATATTTGATGTGCATATTATTGTGCATATTAATGATTTTATTCATTTATGCTCTTTGTAAGTTATAATCTCCTATTTTAATATTGTTGAAGGTTGGTCCTCTTAGTTTGAAATATTTGTGTGAAAAGCTGCTTTATTTTTTTTTTTTTTTCATCAGAGCATATAACACATATAACCCAAATATGTATCAGTGACCTCAACTCATTTTAACAGTAAGTAGTTGATCCTTATATCGTGCGTTCGAATCCCACTTATGGGACGTGGCGACCGGTTCTTCAGATGATACCGTATAAATCGTGGTCGTGTGTCACTGTATGTGCTGGCACAAAAAAAGATCCATCACAGATCAATGGCCGTAGAGTGCCGAGCATAGGGCAAAATTTGCAGCTCTACATTGGCAAGTGGTGATGCCTAGCCATATGAGTTAAAATTCTCGAGAGGGATGTTAAACAACGTACAAACAATACCATCAACTCGTAGCAGTACTTTCAGTACTTTGATTGTCAACTGTAAACCGACAATGATGTAACCATCTCTTTGCTGGCTTAATGTAACAACCGTTACCGAAACATAAAATGATATTGTTTGTAATATTGACGAGATCGATCGTTGTTCGTTATCTTTACAAATTTCGTTAGTTGTTAGTGGGCCCTTATGTCTAGATAGTCAGCAAAGCATCCAAATATCAAACAGATGTGACATACTCTGTGGTCTTTCTTTTTCAAATCACTGGGATATATCGTGTCGACACATGAATGAGAATAACTATTGTGGATTGATAAAAAGTTGTCGATATAATTATCTGAATGTCACATTGAAAGACATCGTAAGTGTTTTCTTATCATGTAGAAGTGTTTGAATAAATTTTTTGTTGATGGCCAAGCACATTCAGAAAAATTTTCCGAGTTCTATACTTATTAAAGGAGCAGTTGCTCAGGCTGTTGATTAAAAATGTCTAAAAGTTCTTTGGAGTTTTTAAACGCCCATCTCCAGCTCCTGGGCCAGAATTAAACGTCTGAAGTTTCTCCTCTACAGCGGTTTATAAACCTAGAGGCTTGGAAGTAAAGAGCATGCATTGGCTGGACCCCGCGATGTATCTTTGTAAGTTTAAAAAAAAAGTTTTGGAATCGAGTTTAGGTGCCGTGGATTGAACAATTTATGAATTACAGTTTGCAGATTATGATAAGTAATCAAAGAATCAAATTTTATTTAAAAAAGCAATCACAAGTGTAACTTTTTCTGAGTTGGTAACAGTAACGTACATGTACGTTTCACAAAAATCACTTAATTTCAAAACATCTCAATCGAGTCTGATACATGTGTTTCATATTTGGATATTTTACTTGAAAAAGACGTTAATGGTAATCTAACAACCAAGTTCTATTATAAACGTGATGACTTTAAGTTTTCTGTCGTCAAGTTCCCTTACTTATGCAGCAAATATACCTTCATCACCTGCATACGGAGTTTATATACATGTATCTCAGTTGATTCGATACGCAAGAGCATGCTCTACGTATAAACAATTTCTAAAACGAGGTAAATTATTGAAAAGCAAGTTGATGAAACAAGAATATCAGCAGTCTCGTTTATAGTCATAATTTCATTAGTTCTATGGTTGATACAATGACTTTATCAGCAAATACAATTAATCATTGAGTCATGATCAAATGCTGACTGAGTTTTTCAAACTAATTGTTAGTACATTATTTATACACGGAATTGACGACGGATTTTACCCTTTTTTCCCGATCTTGACAAGGAGCACATGGCGGATGTGACCGGTCGGCAGGGGATGTTCACTCGTCCATGACACCTGATCTCACCTCTGAGGTTTTGGAGGTCCGTGTTTGCTCTGCCCCTATTTTGTATTGTTGTATGGACTTTTGATCTTGAATACTGTTCGTTATCTCTATCTGTTTCACATATCTACATGTAATAGTTTTATTCGTGACATTCCTAGCTCACAGTCATCATACATTGACTTTTACGCTCATCACTCCAGATACATCTTTTGCATCATATTTTCGAGTTTGAGTATTTAAAATTCGGATATCGACAAATCAAGGATATAACAACAATACAATATATGAATATGAACATTGAATGTAACCAGCTGACCCATTGAATAACATGCATGCATTGTGTATTTACTATTTAAATGCATGGTATGTAATCGGACTAACCCACATTGTAAAGGTTTATAGATTGATTTCTTTCATAGAAAATCTAACCATAATGCATATTTTTAGAATCGATTCATTGTACTTTATGATACGCAATTTTCTGTAAACGGACTGTTCGAGTCTTCCTTCCTGTGTTAAGTTAGACTCTGTATTTTGTTGAAATCATCTTATGTACAATAATATTGAACTTGGATTTAATTTTCCTTTTGGATGTTGATTTCACAATATTGAATTTATGCTGTACATGCATATAAACTTTTCAAAAAAATGACTCTCACCTTTGCCAAAATTCTTAGGGACTATGTCGACGTTTTGGATGACTGGCAAAGAGAAGTTGACAATATTAGAAAAATGCACCATGAGATATGGAAAGAAAGCAGGTTTTATCCTATTGTTAAACAACATAGAGCAGGAAGCCGCGTAGAAAAGCAGTGTCGCATCCTTCCAATGGGAAAACAAACTGATGTAGATTATAAATTTGAAGTAACAGGAATAACTGTTGAAATTAAAAAAAGATCAGGACTCTTCTGGAAAGTTAGTGCACTATCAAAAGCACATGGAAAAATATTTGTGACGAAAGAAACTAAAAACGAACTTATGAACAAGCCACACTATTCTGAGATATTCACAGAAAGCGTGTTTGTTTGGAACATGGAGGAGGAAGCATATTTGTTGTTGCCAGGGCCCTTCAAAGAGAAGGTGGTAGAGATGAGTAAATTCGAATATCAGAAGGATGTCAGACCACCAGTGAACAGTCCCTCAGTCCCCGGGCAGGGGGCCGTGAATGTGTACGATATTGTCCCTTGCTTGAGAATCTCTCAGTGGCCACCCAGTGTCCGCAAATGGACGGAAGACAATTGTTCTGACCAAAAAGCTTTGAACAAGACATTTCGGTCAAACATAGCAAAGACCGAGTCGCTATTTGTAGTCCCAGCGGGGAATCCGACGTCTCAGGAAAAAGATCTTGAGTTCAGGCTCTCTTTCTCTCTTCTGGAGGTCAAATGCTTCGAGGAACTTTCCTCTTATGCAAGGAAACTGTATGGCTTGGTAAAATATGTCTTTAAAACGAAATTAGAATGCATAGATTTACTGGATTCTTACCATATTAAAAGCCTTTACTTTGACATGATTGATAAAGAAGAATGGAGTTCTCATGATTATTTAAAGGATCTACTGCATTTCTTTACAATTGTAGAAAATGCTTGCAAGAATGAAACAGTTAAACATATCTTTATAGA